TATGTATATATGTGTATATATATATATATATATATATATACATATATATGCATGTACGTATGTACGCATGGAAATAAGTGAAAACGTTTTATATATTTATATTACTGCCTCTTTACACATATCCCTTTTACTTTATTCACTTTTATCTCTTTGTAGCTGCTTGCATGCATCTTTCTACACATTCATCTGATAAAATCAGTTTATTCACGCGGTGCATTTGGCAGGGCAGGGCTGCGTGCGGTTGCTTGGTTGCTTGATTTATGCAAAAACACAAAAATTCTGGTCGCATGAATTGCCACCTGGTGCTGCGAGCATTTCTCGCTCTTGTCATCGGGCCAGGAAACTCGCTATGAGTGTGACGGCTTGCAGGAAGTGCGAAGTAAGGCAGTGCGGTGTCTCGAAGGGCGGCAGCTTCGATCTGTGGTTCTCGCGCATTGCACTGTACCGCTTGTCCTTGACTGTTTGCGTGTGTTTTTGACTACTTTGTGACTTTCAAACGCTGCTTTCATTAAGCGCCGTGTTCGAAAATTGGGATTTCTTTTAGAAATTTCACTTTATTCCATTGCTTCTATAATGTCAAATAGCACTGCACTCGAATAACCCCTACTCAAAAATACTGATCGCGAAAATTTTCAAAAGTATGAACGGGCAGTGTGGTATCCCATATTTGTTGTGTTACTGAGATGCTTTCACTCCGCAGAGGGAGAGAAATGCCAGGCTGTTCGATCCTGGGTTGCCTACCTCCAGTTAGCACCTAACGCTTGCTCACTGTTTGTGCGCTAGTTGTTCGGAGGCGCCCGTGTACATGCAGGAATTAGATATCAGAAATATCTCCCGGCTTTTCTGGCTAAGTTTTGTCAGCTAAATCCTAATGGACCTAGTAGAATGTAGGGGAAATGTGGATCAGGTTGCTGGAAGTTGTAGCTTCATATGCCCACCATTTAGCTGCTTGCTTTGGCCAACACTGCTCACCACGTAGAGTTGCCCTTACCATTTCCTTTACAGTACGTCGTAGCAATCCGGCGAAAAAAGCAGGCCCTGTTAGACCATGTTTGCATTATCGCATCGCAGTGCTTCTGCTATGCGAGCTTCCCGTCTATGGTACCTTCCCGTTTAAAGCAGACAACCTACAGAACGCACCAGAGCTGCACGGAGCAAAATCAGTTATGCACTGTTCTTTGGTTCAGCGCATTTTCCTGTTTCGCGGTGCAGCTGAGATCGTAGGCGATGCTTCTGACGTGCGTGTACTCACAGTTTGGAAACTCTTTTTTTATTGACCATTAGACGGATAAGAACAGTGAACATTCACGTCAGGGTCTTGTTGGTTTTGTATTGACGCTGTTGCTGCTGCTGATAGCACGCCCAAAATCCGTCTCAATTATTTGCGGAGGTTGTTTGGTCGGCATCATCATTTGGTGTAGCATTCGTAAAGCGGTCTCGCCGTTGCCCTTCTGAAGAGTAAAACGTTATCTTTCTCGACTACAGGAAGAACATAAACAGCGGTGTGCTCGTCAAGACCAGAGTGGTGGCTGATTCCGACTATAAGCTGCTGTGGATAGCCAGAGTTAAAACCAGAAATCACCATAATTCAGCGCTGGAATTTTAGGTCCTTAGCCATTTTGCCACTTAGGCCGTAATGGATATTGGTATCGGGAGATGTAGTGAATGCTGATATGAATGTGTGGGAACGAGAGATATAACGAATGATGATGTGAATATATGGGGCTTTTTTTTTCGCAGCATGTCGTTGGTCACTTACCCCACGAACGAGTTCAAATTGCTTGGATCAGCATTGCTCACCAAACTTACCCTCCTAATCGTTGGGCAAGACACAGCTTCTTCTCCAGTTTCCTGAAGGGTACAGTGGCTTCTTCCATCCACCTTCTCGGATGACCTCGCATGTGCGATTAACTCCGGACTTGGTTGTTGTACGACTCTCACTCCAAACTGCTAGTCCTCACCTCGTACCTACGTTGGCAAGGCCATCACCAGTGCGACTGGCTGCTGATCAGTAACTCATGTACCTCATTCGACCTTTGTTCAAACTCGCAATCTTCACTTCAGCATCGGAGCCGAGAAGCGACAACGTAACAAGTGTCACCATGTTAACTTCATCGTCATCAGCTAACACGGTAGTAGACCCGAGCATGGCTCCTCTGCCTTCGTGCACGTGCTTCAGGCTTAGGGGGCCACCTGGGAATCTCTGAGCTATTCTGTATAGGGACATAATATATTCGACAGTTGTCGAGGGATCGTATTTTTGATGCATATTGTTTTTATCTAGTGTCGCATATAGTATATTTTTATGTGTACAGTTCTGGGTACCTGCATTTTGCGCTTTTTTTTTTGTCTCTGTTTAATAACCCAAATTTGAGATGCCGTAATACCACTTCTGGGTACTAATTGTGTTGATGATTAAGAATATCTCCATGCAGAGCGGGTTGGCATGGAGCAGAAAGAAAGATCACCAATGCGTTTGAAAGATCTACTGTTGGTACCTGCATGGAATTATGTGGATGAGAGATGCTTAAAAACTAAAAAGTGTGGCGGGAAGGAAGGAACGTATCAAAGTGTATACATCACGGCATAAAAGTTATCGTAGTGCAGTTGTCAGACTGAAACAGTACGATGATTTAAAATGAAACAAGCTTCAAGTAACTGCTTTGTTTTGGGGCGAGCTGGAAACGAATCAAGTTTACTCACCGCTGATCGCGCCATTGCACGGAACATGCACGTTGATCGCTCTGGTCCAACGATCAACAGCAGCAGCAGTAGTCCTAGTACCGTCGTCCTGGTTATCATTTTGCAAATTCTCACCTGACAACAAATTTACTATTAATAGCACATAAGCATAATGGACGCACAGGATATGAGGTGTCCCCCTCCCCCATAATACTTGGATATTCGTCAAGGCCAGTCTACAGTACCGCGTTTGTGAGTTTTTTGAAGGAGCGCGGGAATCGTCGAGGGTGTTGCTGTCGCGAGTCGAAGATGAAAGAAGTGTGAGGTGCATGTGTTTCTCGCATGCATAGCATCGCTCCTTTTTAAATGCAACACTGCTCTTTGACCAATGCTGATCCAGAATTGTTATTGGACTGAAGTGGCTTTCCTCCCCACTCTCTCCCCCTCCCCTCCTTCCCTCATAGGGACAATAAACAGTAAATTTATGCAGTTGCCGTACGTCATCCTAAGCCGCTTGGAAATCTTTTGTTCTGCGAAATGGAAGCCAATAGTTACATTTGCAAATGCATCCCATCTATATAGAAATCATTTAAATTGCGCAGCCAGCGCGAGAGCGCGGTCAGCTAGCCAGCGAAATAAAGTAGATTTTACGTAGCAGCACCGGGCAGATGAAAAACTGACCAAACAAACCAGAAGAAAGCATTTTGAAGGAAGAAAGAGAAAAATATGTGATTGGAAACAGTAACATGATTCCTTTTGACGTAACCTTAGCAGTATCAATAATGCTGTATGTATTACCAAAATGGTCGATCTAAGAATCCGATGTGAGTGGTACTACTGGAACACCTATGTGCCGGATGCACCTTTATAGGTCTTGGCTAAGAGCTACATATCTCCA